CTAAAATAAACTACTACTTCTTGTACTGCTATTCCTACTTCATGGTTTTTCACTTATCTCGGGGCTTCAGTATACGGATCCCCCACGATAAACGAGGGACTACTGTATTGAAATTATTTTATAAGATTGATTCTGTGCTTGCTTGTCATCATTCATCTGCCAACACTTAGACATTTTTCTTTCGTTTTTGGCCAGTAATATGTGAATATTTTTTACAAAAGAGTAGAGGAAAACCTACTAACCATTGTCAAGATACAGCAAAATTCAGTCAGGTCAGCTAGATGGTTTCTTTTTTTTTGTTGTTGAGACGTTTCATCCTTCATCCAAGGGACTTCGTCAGTCTGAGAAGCCACAACAAACTCAGCCCCACAAGCAGCACACTCACATAGTGGGCCAACCAGATGGTTTCTGGGGCCCGCCCTCTCCCCCATCGACTCCTCTGAGGCAGCCATAGCCAAAGTGGTTCAAAACATCAAAGTTCATGCTCAATAATCCAGGTTAAAAAAAAAAATCCAACAAAGTTCAGTCAAGTCATCTAGACAGTTTCTTTCTTTGGGCCCCAGAAACCATCTTATCACAACTGGTTGGTCCACTATGTGAGTGTGCTGCTTGTGGGACTAAGTTTGTTGTGGCTCCTCGGACTGATGAAGTCCTATGGATGAAGAATGAAGCATCTCAACAAAAAAAAAAGAAACTGTCCAGATGACCTGACTAAACTTTGTTGGATTTTTACCTGGATTATTGAGCATGGATTTTGATGTTGTGAAGATACTTTAAACATTTGTGTACATTAAACTTTATGTAAAAGTTGAGTAAAACTAGAGTAACTTGAAACTACAGTACAGCTAAAAAAACAACTTTTTCAACTTTTACCCTTTGTGTCTGATACAATCTTTTCCACATAATGGAGCAAATACAATGGGACTTCTGTGAAAGGTTATGAAAAATTAATATCTTACCCAGTGTTTCCACTAGGTTTCTTTCTTTGGGATGGGGGAGTTGGTTGTTAGACAAGGGGTATCCACAAGACAAAAAAATCAAACGCAAATGCAATTCATTTACAGATTTGCAGCTTTTTTCACTGCAGTGTTTTCTTCAGAGCTTCTCAAAGAACTTTTTCAAAGCTTCTTGGTATAACACTTTTTTTTTTCCTGATTTTCAATAAGTTACAACATTTTTGAATGAATGTAAATCAACAAATGACCAAATGTGAAAAACATGAGATGCAACATGTTTGTTTGCACTGATTCAGTCAGATGTGTTTGTCTAGTTTGTCTTTTATTACCAATCTCACAAACTTTAATCTTCAAGTGCATTTAGTGTCAAGAAAGTCCATCAATTAGAATTTCCAAACATAACAACCCTAAACGTGTGAATGTACACGAGTCAAAATGTGTTTACAGTAGTAGTAGTAGTAGTAGTAGTAGTAGTAGTAGTAAAACTCATACTGGTTGACACTATAAGGGTCTATAACTTTGTTATAATCATAAGGGTTGTATTTTAAAAAATATAGCTTAGGTAGACCTTTGCACAATATAAAATAACTTTAAAATTGCTGTTTATTTTTTGCCAGATTTATATATTTCTGCCTTAAAATGACTTTATATCACACAAAAGGATCATAATTTTAAATTTTCAACTCATTTAGTCATTCAATCCAATTTATTTGAAATATTTGATATTTTATTGAATTGATTTTTCATATTACAGTTGTGAGAATAAAATGAATTGCTGCCATCCTAAAATAACCCCACTCCTATTTAAAAAAAATAGAGAGGTTCATGGGAAGGTTTAATAATAATTCAGACTGTCAATATCAGGCTAATCCTGCAGGACGTGCCCCAAAGCTACACAGGATGTTCTTAGCTAGCTTTTGCATCTTTTTGTGCTTATGAATAACCATTGAATTTATGTTAAATTACTGTTTAGATAAAATTAACAATTGTGTAAACATTCACAAATAGCCTTTACATTAACTTTTTAAGTCCACTTAGGTCTTAGCTTTACTGTCCCACATGGACTATCTGTTATCTATCTGGTCAGAATTAAAGTCCATTTATCCAAACTGATGTCATTCAAAATAATATCCACAACAGGTAAGATATTAGTTGTTCATAACTTTTCCATATAACCCCACTTTAAAATATTTGAACTATTGTGTTAGAGTAATTAGTATAAAGATGAGAAATGTGTTGGAATCTGAATGTTCAAACTGGTTTTATCTCAACATTTGGTATTTGATGCTCATGGAGGTGGAGGATGCTGTAAATACCACTGGAGTTTATCAGAAAGGGAAAAACGAATATGTGACTTGAGCAGTAGAAAAACTTCTAATCCAAATCCTCCATATTTAAGCTGCACAGATAAAGAGCAGACGGCCGTCATGTGCTTCACCTTGTACTTGACGTGTATCTCCTACAGTCTGTCTGCTCATTATGTTACCTTAGTTTCATGTGTTCTTTGTTAGCTGCTGCTGATCCCACCTGTCATTTTCTCTGTAAAGAGTTTCTTTTTTAATTTTATTAGCCATGTTTCTTTACCTTAATGTGAGCTTCTGTGTTTAGAACGAGAAAGTCCATACTGTTTTTTTTCCTCTTACATCCATCTTTGGCTTTTAGTGTTTAGCCAAGAATACGTGAGCTAACAGCTTGATGTTAGCACAGGTCCTAGTCACCTTCAGATGCTTCCTGTGACTAATAGCTCTCCATGTTCTTCTGCCCTCCTCAGTGTCTGCAGCCTCTGTGACTCCTGCTGCTTTTGTCGTTGTTGGATATTGATATTTTTGAATACTGTTGTTGTCCTGTGGTGCTTGTCTGCTCTGACCCATTTTGATGGCAGCCCATTCTTGCCCCCATGTCCCTCTGCTGTGCCGTTGTGTCTGAATGCATGGGCTTGCATGCATTGCACATGAAGGGGTGACTCTGGCTGACCTCACTGAGAAGAAGAAGGGAAGGTTTGGGTGGTTCAGCCAGTCGTCCGACACTCATGGTAAATCCTGTGGTTTTTCCCTCCAGTGTTCTTCAGCTTTTGTCTCTCTATGTTTTTGTGTGTTGTTCTGATGCTCTAATTGACTAGATTAAAAGTAATAACTAATGTTTGTTCTGAGTCAATATAAAAGCCTGGCTGCACATATTTAAAATAAAATTTAATATATAATGTTTCACATTTGTTGAACTTTCCGAACCAAACATACATAATTATTATGTTGGCTCTGAGTGGCAAGTGACAAAATATTTGTTGATCTATTTTCTAAGAAACTTACCTTCATAGATTTTCGTTGGTATAATATTTATTTATATATTTAGTCTTCAAAATAGTTGGAATACACTACCTTTCGAATATGCTTATTTTCTGAGAGAAAAATCTTAAGTTCCCTTTTTCCATTCTGATGAAAATTAATCTCCATTTTCTCATGAAGAACAAAAGGTTGTGGTATATTTTATCCTCCAGTGGCAGAATTAGCATTTTAAAAACAAACATCTAGAATATCCACAAATACAGTATATTCTTTACACCTGCTGTATCTGGTTCGGGAATGTAGTTTGTTGAGCTCTACCTATGCTCTGTGGATGAAAAACAAGATAAACCATGGACTGAAGTACTATTTTTTTAACGACCAGCATCTTATTTCTCCTAAACAAGCTGGTTTTCACTACCAGATGTAAACAAAAAAAAAAGTATTTAGTTTCAGGTTTCCAAGCTAAAATCTGTAATCTGCCACATAATGAAACTATATCATTACTTTATATTTGCAGTTACATAATTACAGAGATTGCTCAGCTTGTTTATTAATTTTAAATGGACCACTTATGTAGCCTCAGACAGTGGGGCTCAGAATAAGCTGTCAGCTATCTTGCAGAAAATTAAAACCAGTCTCATCTTTTTTATTACCGTATTTTCCAGACTATAAGTCACACTTTTTTCATAGTTTGGCCAGTTCTGTGACTTATACTCCGAAGCAACTTATTTACGTTTTTTCCCTATTCATGACACAATTTTTGACTGATGTGTTAAATGTTCACTCGTACTGACATGAACCAAAGAGTAAACATTATTTGCAGCTGTGAGAGGGCCCTCTAGGCTTTTGACAATTACAGTATATGTTGTTCCTCTTCTGCTACCCCCCCCCCCCCCCCAAACATTCACTTAGAGACAACTGAGAAAAATCTAACACAAGTAAAATACTCTCAAAAGTGATGTTGAATGAGATTGGTGAATTTACCTGTAACTTACTTGTCGGAGTCGTTTGCTTGTTATGTTAATTAAGCCTGTTCAGGATCCCAAGTATGTTCTGTGTGTTATTGTTATTTCAGATAAAACGTTTATTCTTGCACTTAGTGAAATACATTTCTAAATAAATGTGACTTATACTCCGAATCAACTTATATTATTTTTTTCCTCATCATGAAGCATTTTTTGACTGATGCGATACTCTGGAGCGACTTATAGTCCAGAAAATACCGTAGTTACTCGTGCTGGTCTTGAAACCTCCAATTGAGGTAAATGTGTATCTGTGAAATAAGTTGTACCCTCTCTTGCTGGGTGCAGTCCTCACATTGACAACTGGCAAGTTTGTAAATGCATAGTTGATTTATTGATGACGGTTTTCATCATTAAATCATCGATTGGAGCCAGGGCCAATTAATGTCAGCGTCTACTGCAGAGTCATTTGACCTGGGTCATAGGTCCAGATTAAACACTTTCCCACTGCTCTCAAAAATCTATTAGAAACACATGACCAGATTTTTTTTTTGTCACTTGCCCTTTGTGGCTTGGAGATTAAAAAATAAAGCAATAATATGATGATGAATATGTTCCTACCTCTTTAAATGTTCAGTTTCACTTTTCTCGTCTTCTGTAGTTTTTCCTCCACAGAGGTCTAACGAAAATGTTTCTTAAAATAAAAACCTTATGTTTTACCCACTAATTGAGTCTGAGTTGCAGATAGAAACACATCTGTGTTTGGTAGCAGCCACACATGCTTAACTTTCTGTGCCCCCGTTTAAAACCCGGAGCTAAGTGTGAACATAGGAAACGGGGCTAAACCCAGATTCTCCAGCAGTCAGCACTATTTTCAGAGCTGTCCGACAGCTCAGGATTCAAAGCCGACATGACTACAGAAGCTGAGCAAAGGCACGCTCCCACTTATGAATTTAAGAGTTGAGACATTTCACACAGCTAATCACCACGTGTCGGCACAGTCAGTCTTACCGAAGGAGTGCTTTGAGTGCAGCATTTCAAACACCTTTATAAGCTCTGTCCGACTCTCGACCCCTTTATTTCAGTCCGATACTCGTTCTCTGCAGTCAGTCTACCTGTAAGTCCCGTGCCACACCATGTAGACTGAAGCAGCTTTTCCCCCATTACAAATGTGTTTTGGACTTATTTTTTATATAAACAAAATAAAATTACAATCAAAAATATTTAACTCATTAAAATTTCCACTTGTCAATCACCTTATGTTTTTGCTGATGTGCACTTACTTTCTTGCTTGTGTAAACTTGAGGTGATCAGACTTCTTTCTTCTGTGCACTGTGCCTTTCTTAATCATCTTTATTCACAGCAAAGTGCACGTTATTATGAGTTTGTAATATATGTGCTTTATTTGCTGCAGCGAGCGTTCCAGCCAGCGAAGCTGAATCTGTGAACACGGAGAATCAGAACGAAGAGGTGGATGAAAAGACACCGTGCTGTGGCCCTCTGTGGTGAGGACGAAGAGTTTTTTTTTCTTGTTTGTTTTTAACCATAAACTGCTATTAAAACTATTTGTATGGCTCATGTGTCAGGGTCACCACAACTTTTTCTTTACGTAATTTCAAAATGTTTGCCCATTTATGTTACAAAGTCCTGCAACAATTCTTCAAACTTGGACTTGTTTTTTTTTTTTCAGTCAAAAGATCTCAAAGTCAAAGTTCAGGTCAGTATTTTTGTGTAACTGTAAGTTGTGTGCCTGTGTTAGACTTTCTTAGACTTTTACACTGTGTGCTTGGCTTTTGTTGTACTTTATATATAATGAGCCTTTCCTTGGAATGATAAATGTACAGCTTTCTTAAGGTCAGCATGTTCCATAAGGTATTTTTAGAGAAAAGCCTTACACAGTGGTTTTAGCTCATTTGGTGCACAGTGGGACTTGCAAAATATATCCGTGCAGTTTCACTGGGATTTAGGGAGTTGTAACAAGACTGCATCGAGAGTTTCTATTTTAACTGATGTCATCACTCACATCAAGATTCTTCTTGTAGCCGGCGCTGGCGCCGCTGGAACAGATTCTGCCGTAGGAAGTGCCGTTTGGCTGTCAAGTCGGTGCCCTTCTATTGGCTGGTGATCATTCTGGTGTTCCTGAACACCCTCACCATATCATCCGAGCATTACAACCAGCCTCTGTGGTTAACCCAAGTGCAGGGTAGGATTTAATCTTCATCATGCTCAGTTTTTCTTGTTTAAATGTATTTCTGCAATAAAACATTGTGTCTTTAGTACTGCATGTATTTTTAGAGAGCAGATACTAAAAACAGGTTAAAATTGATTTTTTTTTTCCTTTTGTCAGATGTAGCTAACAAGGTGCTGCTTGCCCTGTTCACATGTGAAATGTTGGTGAAGATGTACAGTCTCGGGCTCCAAGCCTATTTTGTTTCCCTCTTCAACCGCTTTGATTGCTTCGTTGTGTGTGGAGGAATAACTGAAACCATTCTGGTTGAGCTGGAAATCATGTCCCCTCTTGGGATTTCTGTGTTCCGCTGTGTCCGATTGCTGAGGATCTTCAAGGTCACCCGGTAAGTTTAATGTTGCACTGTGTGTCTGCGTGCAGTTCATGTGCATTCAATTCATGCCTTGTCTTTCCTTCTCTCTCTTGTTTTTCAGTCACTGGCAGTCTCTGAGTAACCTGGTGGCTTCTCTGCTCAACTCCATGAAGTCCATTGCTTCTCTGCTGCTGCTGCTCTTCCTCTTCATCATTATCTTCTCCCTGCTGGGCATGCAGGTGTTCGGTGGAAAGTTCAACTTTGATGAAACACAGACTAAGAGGAGCACCTTTGACAACTTTCCCCAAGCCCTTCTCACTGTGTTTCAGGTATTTACAGTTTGCATGAAAACATATATTGTATGTATTTCTACATTATACCAGCTCGTCACTGACATAAGAGGAAGACTAAAGAAAAATCCACCTGGCCAATGCAGTTAGGTTTGTAAGCATTGGTATGTTGGTTTGTACTCAAACATACTGAAGTTGCACAGGAATCAAAAAAGTTTTGAATCTCATTTTAGTCAGTATTTTGCCTTTTGTCAAATATTATTTTTGTGTGTTATCACGCTGATAAGTTAAAAAGTTGCTAAATGTTTTTGTTTTTTTTAAGACTATTCCTGCCACGTGTTTTCTGCTTGATGATGTGCCATTGTTGGATCCGTTTAGATCCTGACCGGAGAAGACTGGAATGTTGTTATGTATGACGGGATCATGGCATACGGCGGCCCCTCCTCCTCTGGGATGGTCGTGTGCTTTTACTTCATCATTCTTTTCATCTGTGGAAACTGTATCCTTTCTCATTCAGACACACAAAATAGCACTGTCTTTCATTAAATGATATATTGTTGGCTAAATAACTGGTACTAACTAGAGAAATGGCATTTCCTGCAAAAATGCAGTGTGAATGCTTATTGCTGAAGAATTCACAGAAAAACTGCTAAAATTAGCTACAAGAAACATGCTGAATTGTAGCTGAAATGAAAGAAAAAGTCTTAGTTACCAGAAGAAAGCAGAAAGAACACATTTTTTTGCTGAATTAGGTATAGATTAGCACTGCAGAAATTAGCACAAAAATTGGGAAAATAGCTAAAAAAAAAAAAACAAGGCTGAATTTAGCAAAAAAAAAAAAAAAGCTGAAAAGGCAGAATGAAGCTTAAGCTACCAGAAGGAAGCAGAAAGAGCTGAAATGAACTCAAAAATGTGAAATGAGCTGAAAAGGCTAAAATTAGCATAAAACAGCTCAATAGTAGCTGAAATAGCAGAAAATGCTAAAACTAATAGAAAAAGTATCAAAGTAGATGAAGGTTTTGGTTTTGACTTGGCGAGCTCTGCATGGACAGACACCAATATACATCTCAGAACATTTACATCCCTACACCCCGATCAGGGCTTTGACGTCCTGTGATCAAGACCTGCTGATTGTCCCCCAGACAAAACTGAAAACCAAAGGAGACAGAGCCTTGTTTCTGTGGCTCTAAGACTCTGGATCTCCCTTCCTCAAACTCTCCAATCAGCGGACTCAGTGGCTTATTTTAAAGGCCAGCTAAAAACTTATTTTTTTTTTATCTGCCTTTGCTTAAATTGGTTTTGTGAACGTTTTTATTGTTGTTTGTTGAAGCACTTTGTGATTTTTGTCTTGAGACACGCTATATAAATAAAGTTTTACTTACTTACTAAAAAATGATGAAAGGAGCATAATAAGCTGTAATTGCCATAAATAAGGGGCAGCACGGTGGCACAACTGGTAGAGCTGCTGCCTCTCAGCGAGAAGGTCCTTGGTTCAAAACCCCGGTCCAGGGGCCTTTCTGGGTGGAGTTTGCATGTTCTCTCCGTGCATGCGTGGGTTTTCTCCGGGTGCTCCGGTTTCCTCCCACAGACCAAAAACATGCATGTTAGGCTGATTGGTAACTCTAAATTGTCCCTAGGTGTGAGTGAGAGAGTGAATGGTTGTTTGTCTCGTTTGTCTCTGTGTGGCCCTGTGATGGACTTGCGACCCGTCCAGGGTGTACCCCGCCCCTCGCACAGTGATTGCTGGACATGGGCACCAGCGACCCCCGTGACCCAAAATGGAATAAACGGGTAAAGATAATGGATGGATGGATGGATGCCATAAATAAGTTAATTAGGTTGAACGAAGCAAAACTTGCCATGAAAAACTTAAATTTACCTGAAAACAGTTGAAGTTACCCAAGCAATGATAAAAAGGCACCTGAAAATGTAGAACAAGCTTAAATTAGCAGAAGAAAGCAGAAAAAACATATGCTTGCCCAGTTATGCTGAAAGAAGCAGAAATGAACACAAATAATGGAAATTATCTGAAAAAAGCTGAAATTAGCAAAAAACAAGTGAAAAGCAGCTAAAAAAAACAGAAAGAAGCTGAAATTACCAGAAGGAAGTGGAGAGAGCTCATTTTTTTGCTGAATTAGACTGAAAAAAGTTGAAATGAATGCAAAAAATGTGGAATTAGATGAAAAAGCTCAGATTAACATAAAACAGCTAAATAGTAGCTGAAATAGCAGAAAAAGCTTAAACTTGCAGAACTAAACTGAACATCTTAAATTAGCAGAAAGAAGTTAGAAGAAGCACAAAAAGTTTGTAGTTAGCAGAAAGAGTCTGAAAGGAGTAAAAAACCGCTGAAATTAGCTGAAAGTAGCTGAAAAAAAAGTTTAAATTTGCACAAGGAAGCTGAAAGAAGCTGAACTGGAACAAAATGTGAACGGAGCAGTAAAAGGTTACAAACAGATCTAAAGATTTGAAGGATGTAAAATGAGCTCTATTCATTTTCTATGAGGAAAAAAATGGCAGAAAAGGCTAAATATTTCAAAAAGCTAAAGTTACACCAATACCATAAGTCATATCACCCTTCTCCTGAATGAGCTGACCGTTTTGATATATGATTTGTTGAAATAGCTTAAAAATTGTGGAATGAGAAAGATGCTGAAAAATGTATGGAAGAAAAATGTGACTGCTTCATAAACATTCACACTATTAGTTTTAGAGTGTTTTAGTTCTACAGTTTCCTGAACACTGCTCAGATATCCTCCTGAATGTCTTCTTGGCTATTGCTGTGGACAACTTGGCAGATGCTGAGTCTCTCAACACAGATGAAGGAGACAAGAAAGGGTGAGCATTTCCTTTTTCAAAAATATTTTTAAGCCAATCTACACAAAATCTAACCTTGTGTAGATAATTCCTCGATCTCCTCTTTGTAATTCGTTGCATTTTATCTGTTACTTACAGGGACAAAAAAGATGATGATGACAATAATGACAAGGTATTGCGTCATTTCATTCAGGCTAAATTCATCTGTACAGTTCAACACGTGTTCACATGTGCTGTTTTGTCAGGATGATGAGGATGAGGACAACGATGACAATGCAGGAGATGAGGAAGACCCAGAAGTTCCATCGGGGCCTCGGCCGGTCATCGCCGACCTGGTAAAGAAGGAAAAGATCATTCCTATCCCAGAGGGAAGTGCCTTCTTCATCTTCAGTAACACGAACCCGTAAGGCACACTGAGACGGTGAAATGTCCACAAACACGAGCAGGTCTGGTTGTTTATACCACTAAATATTTAATTACTTTCTCTTCCAGGGTGCGTGTGTTTTGCCACAGACTCATCAATCACCACATATTCACCAACCTCATCCTGGTGTTCATCATGCTCAGCTCGGTCTCGCTCGCTGCTGAGGATCCGATACGAAACTTCTCTGCCCGCAACATTGTAAGTCTGCAAAACATCCATGAAAAACATAATCACAGCTTAAACGGGTGCAGTAAAAACATTTAGACGAAGTAGCATTATTGAATAATTACTTCTTAAATCAAAATTTGGCCATAGAACATTCTGAAAAAAGGCCATACTCTTGATTTGCATGTTTTAGCCCATTTAGACTTTTCTAAAAAATTTAACGTACCTAAAGAAGTTTGTAGAACTTTCCTTTTCATTTATATTAGTAACCTATCCTTTAAAACAAAAGCATCAGTACTTTTCTGAAAGCATTTGCTGTTACTTTATTGTATTGCAGCTTATTGATTACAGTAGTCCCTCGTTTATTGCGGGTGTTTCGTTCCAGACTCCCTACAATAGGTGAAATTCTGCCAAGTAGCGACGTTACATTTATTTTAGTATTTATGTATATTTTAAGGCTTTAGAAACCCTTACAATATTTTAAACTCTTAAACCTACGTCATTTTAACAACATACGTTGTACAGTACTGTATATGTAGCTACTAAATTTTACTTACCAGGCTCTGCAGAACAGGAGTGGCTCGGTTCTGGTCCGACTCTGTTCCGTTTCTGCAGACCTATCCTGCAGCAACGAAGACCACAATCATTGTTCTAAACTCTTAAACCTACTACTACTACTAGCTCTCTGATTCGCCAACGGGTCTGGAGGTCCGGTTCTGTGCAACTGTTGAGCGCCAA